AGGGAACTCCACTTAATTAATGGCACGGAAATTAACGTTTACAAAAATGAACGCGACTTAAATTAACGTGAATTTTGAAAATTCGTTCGTATGAAAGTTAAGGTAGACACAAAAGTGCATAGTTTTTGCCTAAACGATTTTTTTTAGGTCTTTTAGGTGGCTCATGCTGCATGGTTTCGTGAATAAGCAAACCCGCGCGCGAGTAGCTTCTCCTCCGATTCGACTCTTAACCTGTTCTCAATTTTCCCGACCCAATATTTCCGAGTATATCAAAAAAGGTAATCTGCTTCACAAGACGCCGGTGGCTATGCGATTTCCAGCCAAAATAACCTCAAGTTGCATTTGGGTTGCCATAACCGTTGATTTAGTTATTTAACATTGGTATGCTCTGGTGCGGACAGACGGTCGGTCTGTCAGACGTAGGGTCGTCCAGCACCTATCCAAAGCAGCTCTCTGATTGGCCAGCTCAAGAGAAAAATAGATTTTTTTTTTCATAGAAAGATCATCATGTATGCATTAGTTACTATTTCCCCCTCAGATTCGACCCCGACCTGTTCTCAATTCAGTTTTAACTACGCAGTTAAATATTCACTCTGTTAGGCACAGAATACATAAAGGTTTATTAAATAAATCCTTTAAGCACGTTAAAAATCCATGGCTAAAACCCTTCACCACCACTCCTGCACAGCGGAAAATATTGTCCAACAAAACCTGTAAAAGAAAAAAAAAAAAACTAAAGTTAAGCGAAGTCTGTCAAGGGATAGGCGTGCTCGTGTAATACTGTGACTTAAAATGGGGTTATATAGGGGTAAATTAGGGCCTGTTTACATGGAAGTGGGGGATCAAAGATAGGTGGGGTTACCCGTCTGTCCATATACAGTAATATAATCTCTCATTTTAATTTGATAACGTTTACACCCGCCACATGTTACCTCACCTATCTGGGGTCCCCCACCTTCATGTAAACAGGGCCTTTGTCTAGGCTGATCGGATAGCTATGAATGGGTTGTCCAAACAGCTTTCCTTTTAGTTTTTAGTTCAATTATTCCCTGTTGCTGATCTCGGCCTGATCTACACCAAGGTACGGCTTTTTTTCTCTTCTATTTTTTTCAAGTGGTGCTTGCAAGAATTGTTCCTTAATATATGTATATCTCTGTCAGCTCACCCCTAAGTTTTGAGGTTGAAAGACCTCTCTCCTAAGCCTGTCCTCCCCTCCTCGTTAAGGGAACAGCCATATTGGATACCCATTACATTGTTTTAAATTCGATTTTTCATCCTTCACTGAGTTTGTCAGTTATACTGTTACCTCTTAAAAAATAACCCACTTTCTCCAATTACTACCCCTTTCCATTAAGCAGTCCCCATCCGCCCCACCCCCCTTCCCTTCCCCCTGCAAAAACTGAGTAAACCACTGGTAACCTGGGCTCTGTTCCAGTAAAATTAGAGTGTTTATATGGGGTTAAAATACGATTCTAAAATTTGTAGGAAATACTAATTAAATAAAGGTCAATGAAACTTATTCTGCAGTTAGTTGTTGTTGTCCTTTTTTACTGCTCAAACGAATTTTCGTGATAATTTACCCCCTTACAATATTACGACACAAGGTAGGAGGCACGAGATGGCATCTCAGCCGCCATGCTCCTTCAACCTCTTTTCCATGAGCAAACATTGTAATTTTACTGGAACCGTACCGTGGTACTATCACAGAGCCTGGGTTTCCTGTAAGTAAACCCGCTGGGAGGCTTCGATAAAGGAATTTCTTACATCATTTCAAGTCTGTCGTGTAGTTTAGCAATGCTTGCTGGACCATGTGCAGCACACATGGTTTGCATTGTTACGCCAAGCATTTGGGCATATCCTCCTATTTTTCTCTGGTTTGCAATTCAGTCTGGTTGTACATACTCCACGGACGATGTCCTGGTCACAGTTCTTGAATTCCCTTTTGAGGGCCTGCGCTTGCTCTGGTGCTGCCGGCTCGATATCATCTACAAAAACAATTGAAGAAAGAGGGAAATGTATACGAGCTGTACCACAAATTTATAAAAATCTAAACAGTTGGACCGCCACGAAATAGCGTAAAACATTTGAATAACTGCTTAAAACATGAAAAGAAGGCACAAATAACACAAACAATTACAAAGGGAGGCACGGAAGGACAAAATTGAAACGGATTGCAATTATGGTTTTTGAAACTTGTTAGCCTTGGCTAACAGTTTTTAAAGTATATTTTTGTTGTTTGCAACAATTGTTGTAATGTTGAGGAGGCATAATATTTGTTTGACACATTGCTGTGATCGATTTTGCCATAGATAAGTTTTTTGTCACGTTCCTTAGCGACGAAGGACGCGTAATCAGCAAGTTTGAATAATGTCACCAACTAGACCTAAACAGAAAATAAATATATATCCGAGAAATGCGTTGGGGCCGTAACATATAAGAAGCAAGGGGATCTGACTGGGATACGGGATATAAGGATGGAAACAACTAGCCATGGCCATAGGAAAAGGTACATTTAGGAACAAAATAGTCCCGATATTAGCATCAATTTGCTGAGTTACGAAAAGTAAAAGAACGCGTAACTTTTTGTGTAAGTAAACCTCTCAAACTCACTGGTAACGTAAAATAAAGAAAGAAGTCAACACATTAGAAACTTCAAAAACAAAAGGTGGAAAACAAAGAAAGAGTTGGCTGAATTAAATACTGACGTAAACTAAAAAATGGAGGTTATAGGTGTTAGAAAAGGACTGATTAACGTGGGTGTCCTTTCTCCCATTTAACTGTGAAAATATTGACTCCTAAACAGTACCCAGTGGTAGCCCCTACCCTCCCCCGCCTCCCAGTTGGCATGGTAGCTCAACTGGTAGAGCACTGCACCGATATTCTTTTCTTCAATTGCTTTTCATTTCAGTACGGCAGATAACAAACTTACTTGGAAGCCTTTCTTCCACAGCTACGAGGCCAATGATTAGCAGGAAAATTACCAGTACGCGAAGCATCTTTAGTTATGAATTCTTTTGGAAAGTTTCTGAAATAATTAGCAATCAGAATTTTATAGTCTGGCCCTATATTCAACATGATTTTGGAAGAGTCAATGTAATATTAAAGATNTTTGGAAAGTTTCTGAAATAATTAGCAATCAGAATTTTATAGTCTGGCCCTATATTCAACATGATTTTGGAAGAGTCAATGTAATATTAAAGATGCAAAACTATGAGTAGCGGAAGCATATGGTATAGGCAGAAATTCAGTTCGAGTAAATAATCTTGTTTTTTTGCTTAGCCACAATTAAGAAACACAAGACCGGATATTCAGATAAACTGATAACATTTTTCGGTATCTTCAATATAAAAAAGAGTTTTCATTGATGCCGTTTCATCGAGCATAAGCATAGTCCATAGACATACTGCTTTGCGATTAACGGTTGCAACCATTCGAATTAGCAGTGAAAGCCATGTTTAGCTAAAAATCGTCGTTGCGAATTCCGCGTAACATCACCTTTAATTTTTAGTACCATTGACATTATGCTACGCGCTCGGTCATTATGTTCAAGAAGGCTTTGAAACTGTTAACAGGCATCAGTGTTTTATCTTCATTATAAAGCAAAACCTTCTAATTAAAAGAAAAAGATATTTTTGTCGAGTGACAGTTGATACATTGCAATCGGAAACATTTTCAAGCTGGCAGGTAAAAAAGATTAAATGCATTGATGCAAGACCTCTCAGTTCTATTTGCTTGATGCGATTGCTTAAGAGCAAACTTCAGAACGAGTGGCAAGATAAATAATAAAAATAATCGATGAGTACATAGAGTAGCTATATAGTCAGTTGGTTAGAGATCGGTTTAAAAAGCTCAACAGTAGAATTCAATAATTCAATAAAGAAATACAGTTACCCTAATTGTGCGGTTTAGACAACTAATTGAAACTTCGTATACGCGAAAGACGCTAGAACATAATGAAAACCTTGCTAAAAGCTTACCTCTTTATATCTACTTGTTGGTTGTCTAAGTATTGTTCTTTGATGACCCTCTTCTATGAGAATGACACCTCCTTCAAAGTTTGTATTACTTGATGATCACAACATTTACAACATGGAGAATTTTTCATTTTTTCAATTCTATCGCTTCTTTCGTTCTTTTTTCATTTTTTTTTGCTTTCCTTTTTTCCTTCCTTCCTTTTTCGTTCTTTCTTTTCTGTTGTTTCTCTTTCTTCGAAGTGGACAAAATCAGCGAAAAATACAAGAATGAATTGCTGTTATATATTAGGGAGTTTAAAAAATGCTACGTTAGCGCCCGAACAAGTAATGAATAGGTCAGATTAAGGAGGGCAATAACTCCCCAGCCATAACAGGCCAGAGCCCCGATTTTAGTGCGCGCAGGAGGAGGCCTAATCTCCACAGCAACCACCGCAGATCGGTTTCCAATAACAGACAAGCGTTACTTTCTTAATTAGTTTTAAGCATTCCTCCAGACACCTTTGGAGAGCGCCGGACACATTGCCTGTCAAGGAACTTTGTACTTCTGATTAAATGAACCAGACATCTCAAGGAAACGCGAAATTTAATATTTGGGATTATAAATTCATTTCACGGTCGAAGTCGATCTTCGCGCCTGGCTTCGCAATTGATAACTACAGTTTTCTCGCCGCATTTGGATTCAAATAGGCTTGATACGCTTTCAGTGGCTTTTCAAGTGCTTTCTTTTAAGAAAATAGTGCTCCGATGGCTTATTTAACTTCTTTCAAGAGTAGTATGCCGTGTCAACATTGGTGACCTTCGAAGCGAAAACGGCGAGTCGGCGTATCAAGTTTTTACTGTGGAGCCACAAGTAGGAATACACTCTCTGCTGGCACATCTTTCTCCGGTTTGGAAGGAACTCTGCGTGGAAAAGACCCTGACCAAAGACATTTTTAAATCTTCTCTATTTGAACGTTTAAGAAAAGCCGTCAACAATGCACATTTTATAGTCGCCAGTGTAAACGAATGCGAGAACTCGAGCTCTACTTCACATCTCCTTGAGGAACAGCAAGACCGATTATCTGATTCAATGGACGAACTTTTTTTATCAAACGGCGAAGGATTCAAGTCTTTTTTCCCTGGCTTAAGACGATGTAAGCGTCGATGTGCCTCCAGTGACAAATCACTCTCCAAAAAGCCCGCCAAGCACTGTCGAAATCCCGCCAAAATCTTATTCCCTGGCAGGAGCCCAAGACGCTGGATTACTCCAGATATTCTAGCTTCCACTTCAACATCTTCGTGTTCGCTTGGGCGATCTGTGTAATCAACGTCACAGATACAGTATGGTTTCTATATCAGTCATTTTAGCCTCCTTCAAAAGTCAATCATAATCCAAAAATTATTATTACAGGTTACCTTTGTATTGTTACTTGTTTTTTACTTAATAGGCCAAATTATAGGGCTACCCTCTCCCTCAGAGCTTACAGGCGGCGCGCCCAAGATTCTGAGGTGAAGGTTGTCTCTCTTTTAAACTGTCAGTCGTCAACCATAGTATTATTGAATTTTCATTTTCCAGAGTTCATAGTGGTACCTTCTTTATAGTTTTACGTGATTTGTGGCAAAGACAAGACCAGGCTAACAAATTTATTCTACTTTATGCGTGGTGCGACAATCACCGTGGCTGACTGGCCTCCAAAGTTCCTTTATAATTTGGACGCTTCTCAGGAGTTCCTTCACTGCTTGTAATCCAGAATTGGCGATTCTCAGCAGCTTGAAGCTCTTGCATTGCATCAGTTGTTCCTTGGACGACGACCTTTTCTTGTCCCGAGTACAATATCGATTCTCGATTCTCGACTCTCGATTACCGTATCTTGCTCGTGCAAGGTTTCGGCAACGGGACCAGTACTAAGACCATTGCAGGAAAACTGTTTGGTAGAAGAAGAGTGAAATGGTGGCTTCGGCGCGTTACCTGTCTGATGCTCGGTATATCACTGCCAAACTGCGCAACAGAATGCGCGAAAAACCCCTCCGGTACTTGAAAAAAAAGAAAAAAAACCTGAGCGATGTAATTTAGTAACTTATTCATGGTGTTCAGCTTCCGGTTTATTCAGCTTATTGCCAGTTGTAGGCAAAGTTCACGCGCACATTATCGCACTCTAACTGGGTCGATTGTGAGGAAACTCTTATGTCAGTCATTGACTAAAAACCCCCGCGCGTTAAGCCTTTGTGCGACGGACGTCCCTTAGAAATATAAATTGCCCACACTGATCGCCAATTCTACTTGCAAAGTGTTGCTGATTGAGTTGTGTAATGTATTCTAGAGTGTAAATTTAGTACTAACCTCGCAGACAAGGATGCAATGAGACATTTATTTGCGTAGTTAGGCCTACTATCCATTGGGCAAGCATCCCTTTTATTTTCTTTCGATAGCCTGTCCATGCACTAACCTTTGGGTACAGAAACTAGCTGCCTCTCGCTGTACCAAAACTTGATAGTTTTGCCGTTCACTATTCTTAACGGGTGCTCACACAACACCAGGACTGCATCGTGCGCCTTTGGCGCTTTGGTACCCTGCGAGCTTTGGTTCATCGCGTTTTGAAAGATGGAAATTTTGATATTCCCGCGTAAAAGAAGACCGATAAAACGTGTCTTTCATTGACTACAGTGAAACGCCCGGAAATGAAGGATGTTTTGAAAGAAACGGGAAAACTGATAAAAGTAAATATTTGTTTTGATAAGTGAAATTAATGAGAAATAACCATAAACTAGTTTTGTTGTTTTGTTTTTTAAAAGCGGTTTGTCTGGTACCAGATTTGTACAATTACTTTCAATCAAACATGGATCGGGTTTTGTTAATTATGACAGAATGTAATTAAAAAGCATTATGTTGACAGCTACAAGGCACATGCTTGCCTTAAGCTGCGAGTATCCCGCCATGTTTTAAACAAAGGGCCTCTGACCAAGCCGGCATTCTAATCCGCCACAAATATGTGAAGCACGCGTCTTTCAAAGTCGCCTAGTACTTAAAATCGGGGCTCTGGCCTGTTATGATTCTATGGAATAGCACCTCCTTTTCTCACATAAACTATAAATATTTGCATTTATATACTGTTTTTTTCAGAACTTAGTTACTTTTCTTTGTTCCTTCCTTTTTTTTCAAACTTTGTAACTATAAAGGTTATTTGATAATCGCACCATTTACAGTATGAAGAAAATGTTTGTTTCCTCTTGTTTGGTCCCGGAAAAACAAAACAAAAAAAAACAACAACAACAACAACAACAACAACAACAAAAATATGTATATATTTTGCTTTGCCTTTCTGCCAGACTTGCATCAAATATTTTTCTGTTATTTATTATTATTGTCATGATGATGATTATTTTTTTAAACAGGAACTGAAGTTTTACAACAGCACGGATAGTCAATTCCACCTCCCTATTTAACTTTAAAAAAGCGCATGCAAATAAACCCCTCCTTAAAACAAGGTGTTTATTGCAATAATTTTTGATGTTCTTGGATAAATGTGTTGTTTTATGTATTTGTAGCTTTTCTTTTTGATATTTTAATTTTGTTTAGAGACATCATTGAAATAAGGTGGTTATTGTGGGGTAACACATCACCTTTTGTATATCTTTCCTTTGCTTATGAACACCTCAGTAAAATAAGGTGCTTATTTGCATCAGAAAAGCGCTCTTGGATGAATGTGTTGTCAGAGTACTAACTTTTGTATCTTTCCTTTTTGATATTTTAATTTTGTTCATCTTGTGGTGAACATAACTAAAGGCTCTGATTAAAATAAGCTTTAGTTTTAAGCGATTTCTTTTAGGCTTCCTCGTCATTGTCACTTTTCTATCTTTTTCGTTGTCTTTTTAATGTTATCTGTTTGCTGAGTGGCAATAAATCAATCAATCAATCAATCAATAAATAATGAAACTGACAACAAACCATACACTGACAATTTTCTTTTTTTTTTACCAAGCATAGATCAGAGAGTTTGGGAGCAGTGTACATGATAATTTTATTTTAAAAAAATAATGATAAATAATGCACTTTATCATCCGAAGCAAATTTTTTCTTTCTTTTCATTGGCCGAGAGCCCACCACGTGACCTGCAAATAACTGCCTACAAATAATGACCTGCTCATGCGCAATGCCGTCCAACTGTGTTTGGCTGCAAATAATATTCTGCACATGCGTAAAGGAAACCGTGCTTTTCTCCTTCTTGCGATCGCTCTTGCGTGAAAATGGCAGATCGCTTCGCTTCCCGAGGATATTCATTAAAAAAACAAACTCGGTGATCGAACGATAAGACAATTATTGAACTCGGTTGTCGCAAAATATCGTGATTTGTCAGTGTCTCGCAGAACAATTACTTGCCTCAGCCTTCGGTTTCGGCAAATAATTGATCTGCTCGCCACAGACAAACCACGATATTTTGCTCAACCTCGTCCAATAATTGTTAATTACCGTATTTATTCGAATAAGCGCCCAACCTCGAATTAGCGCCCACCTCGAATAAGCGCCCATCCTAAATGTAAAAAAACTTAATAAGCGCCCAGCCTCGAATAAGCGCCCACCCCACCCCCCTTCCAATCAAACTCAAATAAGCCACCACGCCCACCCCACCCCCAAAAAATTGAATAAGCACTAAAACTAATAAGAGACTTTCCCGAAGATGGAGTTTTCTTCAAAGTATTTTACAGGAACCATGTTTTGTTACATTAGCGTTTTGTTATTACCATTTATTGTTTTGTTGCAAAATAAACATACTACACTTGCTGAAAATGTTGAAAATTTAATAAGCGCCCACTCTCAAGGTCCAAAACTNGCAAATAATATTCTGCACATGCGTAAAGGAAACCGTGCTTTTCTCCTTCTTGCGATCGCTCTTGCGTGAAAATGGCAGATCGCTTCGCTTCCCGAGGATATTCATTAAAAAAACAAACTCGGTGATCGAACGATAAGACAATTATTGAACTCGGTTGTCGCAAAATATCGTGATTTGTCAGTGTCTCGCAGAACAATTACTTGCCTCAGCCTTCGGTTTCGGCAAATAATTGATCTGCTCGCCACAGACAAACCACGATATTTTGCTCAACCTCGTCCAATAATTGTTAATTACCGTATTTATTCGAATAAGCGCCCAACCTCGAATTAGCGCCCACCTCGAATAAGCGCCCATCCTAAATGTAAAAAAACTTAATAAGCGCCCAGCCTCGAATAAGCGCCCACCCCACCCCCCTTCCAATCAAACTCAAATAAGCCACCACGCCCACCCCACCCCCAAAAAATTGAATAAGCACTAAAACTAATAAGAGACTTTCCCGAAGATGGAGTTTTCTTCAAAGTATTTTACAGGAACCATGTTTTGTTACATTAGCGTTTTGTTATTACCATTTATTGTTTTGTTGCAAAATAAACATACTACACTTGCTGAAAATGTTGAAAATTTAATAAGCGCCCACTCTCAAGGTCCAAAACTTTAATAAGCGCCCAGGGCGGTTAATCGAATAAATACGGTATTTGAAGATCAATGTATTTAGCACGAAGGCAGTAATCGGGGGCGCTATATTTACGTCTACAACTGGAGACGGGACTGCCATTTGACGTAGTCATCCGAGCCACGCAGAGGTCTTACCGCTTGTAGTGCAAAGGGAGTACCCTCATTTCTCAGTTATTCTAAGACCCTGAGCATTGGTCCGGCCCCGGGAATCGAACCCACGACCTTCCGCTCTGTAGTTAAGCGCTCTACCAGCTGAGGTTATCTCTCCGCTTTCCTAGTTTATTGTTGGCTTCGTTTGCATATATATCTGGCTCGGCTAGAGTACGAGTAGTCCCCCATTTTTCCTCAGGAATAGTAGAGCGAGCGAAACGCGAGCGCACGTGAGAATCATCTCATGCGCGCTCGCGTTTCGCTCGCTCTACTATCCCTGAGGAACAGTGGGGTACTACTCGTAGTCTAGGCTCGGCAAACTCGATGGGGATTATGTGGTAAATTTTCCCAGCTCGGGATCCGAGCTAACCGGCGGAAAACGAAAGGAAGAGCTTCTCCCATCTCTCCTCTTTCACATCACTCATTGCGTTCCCTCTCTTTCCGCGTGACTTTTAACTTTGGCCTTCACGCACGTATCTTTGGTTAAGTGAAACTTAGCGGCTCTGAAGTTTTACTTAACGGCCTAGTGTGAAGATTACCAATATCACCTGTAGTACAAAACCTGTCCTTAAAGAAACAATGAAGAGCTTAGGCGGGCGTTATTCGTTCCATATAAAATGAGCATTTTCGACTTAAGTCGGCGATGCATAAATAATTCAAAGTAACCTTCTTTAATATCGTGTGGAAGACTCTTGTGTCATGAATATTATCACAAGTTAGAGAGCTAGCTTGCGAGATTGAACCTCGCACAAGCTGATAAGGATTAAAATCACCAGCACTAAAAACTCCTCAGTTCACGTTGTGGCGGGCAAGCTCATCAGTTCAAATACCTAAGTGAAAGAATTCCCTACCATTTCACATACTTCAATTTGTGAAATCACCCACCCACTTCTTTTCCGAAAAAGCTACCCTTTCGGAAGGAGGAAAATACCAAAAACGGCTAGGTAGACTTATTGCTACTGCGCGTAGAGTTTAAATTATTAGGGAGCTCAAACATGAGAAAAAATTTTAAGCTGAGAATGATCTTTGTTCTTGTTGTGTCGAATCTCTGCATTGTACTGCGAACAGACTGAAAAGGGTGTAATGGCATGTTGGCCAAAAAGTATTCTCCTTACTTACTTTGAACCCAAATCAGAGTAGATCGATTCGATGCGAGCGTACCTGACCAATTAAAATAAGGTAAATCTGATATCAGTGTATTGGTAAAACCTTACCTTTTGGGTGCGTCAGATTGACTGTACTGAGAAAGAT